GCACATGTGCCACTTTTGGAGCAACATGAACCCTTCATGCTTTTTATGTTTCACTTACATATGCAAGTGGACTTCTATAGGGCCTATGCATTTCAACTCAAAACTTCTTTTCATACTATCTCCTTAGAATCTTAGACCAGGAACATGCTTTATCATTCATCATCAAAAGTATATCCTGCAGTTGCAAATTGTTGTTTTGATGAAAACCCAAGATAGGTGGTCCATCACTTCTATTTACAGTAAGTTCATCATTCTCATATATAATGGTTCCCGGGTTTGTTCGTTGCTCTTCTCCTTCAAATATCTCCCTCCAGGATGTCTATTTCCCAAGCATACGAGATATTACTTTGTAAGATTTTCGTATAAGACACTGCCATTTGGCATGCATGTAAGCAATTTTAGACTATATATTGTCAAGCATACTGCTGCCTCTCTGCTGAAGCTGATAAATAAACTCATCCTATAACACACGCAAGTTCCCAAATTAGCCGATGGAGACTACATCACCAGCAAAGTAGCTGTAAAAATGTATCATTTTGACTAATTTTATCCCAAAAAATTCCAATCACAACTGAAACACATTAATGCCAAGCTTTTGTATAAAAAAACTCCCATTAGACCTGGCAATGCTCCGTCTTTAAACCACAAGAACCAGCTGAACGTCAACAACAGCATAAGGATCAGTTCTAGTTTTGTTCACGTACAGATTGCAAAGAATTCTTAAACTATCAAAATCATGGAATAAAATATCAAAAATTTAACAAAATATCGAAAGAACTCACAGCTTCTCGCGTAGCTCAGGGGTGTCCTTCGGTGTACCTAGGGTGTTAACCAGCCTCTGAAACGTGGAGACGGCGGTGTTGATCTGGAAAATTCCTGAGGCCACGGCTTGGGTAGTGTCTTGCTTCCCGTTCACAAAGCCCCGACGGGGACCCACTGATCGACCCGATTCTAGATCTTGAAAGCTCATTTCTTTCTCTTGTTTCTTCGAATTCTGATCAAAATTCACCCCAAATTTCAGAAATCCAAACCTAAAGGTATGTGATCAGAGGGGACAAAGCCGGATAACGGTTTGGATTACAGAGAGAAGTAATATGAAAACCCTAGAATTTGGGGTTTGGGGAATTTGCAAGGAGATGTAAGGAAATTTGAGGAAAGAGTATTTTATTAGATAGTTATATGGTGGGTAAAAGGGTGGAAAAATTGCGCCAAAAATAGAGAAATTGGGCGAAAATGGGGGAAGTAATTGAAGAACACAAACAAAAAAAAGTATACTAAGGAGTCTCTAACCCAATCCGCTATTTTACTCTCCAAATATAGAGTTTTATATTTTTTCAGACAACCGACTTCAATTCAATTCTCTATTTTACTTTCTAAAAAGAAATTTTTTTTCTCTCCTCAATATTATATTATTATTTCTATTTCATTCTTATTTTCTTATTTCATAATATAAATCTTTTATTTCTTTTTTCCCAAATAATTACTTTATATAATTTTTAATGTGATATAAAATTATTTTTTATTCTAAATTTTTAAATAACATAAATTGCAAGAAAATATAATATACATAAATTAGGGAACAAATTCAAATAAAAGTGTCAAAATGACACAGCGAGACCCTACATGAGGTGTCTAAAATGAACATCGCCCACTTAAGGTGCCTAAGTGAAACTTCGTGCCAAATTTAAGGGGCCACCGATGGATTAGGCCTATAATATATATATGATATGATATATATATATATATATATATATGATTTTTAGCCCTTTTTCCCTGAGGGCATCTCCAACCCAATCCTCTATTTTACTCTCCAAATATAGAGTTCTCTATTTTTTCAGACAATCAACTCCAACCCAATTCTCTATTTTACTCTGTAAAAATGAATCTTTTTCTTTCTCCTCAATATTATATTATTATTTCTATTTCATTCTTATTTTCTTATTTCATAATATAAATCTTTTATTTCTTTTTTCCCAAATAATTACTTTATATAATTTTTAATGTGATATGAAATTATATTTTATTCTAAATTTTTAAATAACATAAATTGCAAGAAAATATAATATACATAAATTAGGGAACAAATTCAAATAAAAGTGACATACAATTACATAAACACTCAATTTTCAAAATTATTACGTTGCTCGCATAAATGCTCTATTAATGCATTACGGAGTTCAAAATGAGCATTTTTGTTCTTAAATTTTTTTATGTCTAGCTAAAAATTGTCCAAACCGGAGATTTTCATCTATCACCATTTCTATAGTTGGAGTTGGAGCCTCTACAGCATCTTGAATTGGTGCATTGAGATCACGTTCATCCTCAATTATCATGTTGTGCAGTATAATACATGTAGTCATTATATCATGTAGCATTTCCTTTCTCCAAAAACGTGAGAGTCCTGCAATAATTGCAAAACATGATTGCAAAACTTCGAATGCACGCTCAACATCTTTTCGGCACGATTCTTGTTTCATCGCGAAATATTTCTTTTGTTGGGAATGAGGATCACGAATAGTTTGAACAATTGTAGACCATTTAGGATATGTACGATCAGCTAAATAATAACCCATATCG